TCAGTAGGTAATCAACTTATGGTGGTTACCAAATGGACTACTGATCACACAGAAGGGATTGATTGTCCTGTGGTTCCAGTTTGGGTTAGCTGCCCTAAACTTCCCATCTTTCTTCATGATCAGAGAGCCCTTTCTATAATAGCTTCTGCTTTAGGAAGGCCTCTTAAAGTGGATGAAAGCACCCTCAGGTTCTCTAGACCAGAACTGGCTCGTTTTTGTGTTGAAATTGATGTCTCCAAGTCACCCCCTTCTAAGATTCATATCAACCTGGGAGGGAAAGACATATTTCTCCAACTGGTGTATGAAAATATTCCACATTATTGTTCTTCATGTTCAAAACTGGGTCATTTGAAAGGTCACTATAGGAATCAAGAGAGGGAACTCAAACAACCAGTCCAAATCAGAGAAAACAAGGGCAAAGAGATAATTGGAGAAAAGTGGACTGTTATTACCTCCAAAAGAGGTGGGTCTGAAGCTGTTTGGAAAAGAAAACTGGGTCCCTCTTCTTCTGGTCCTGGGGAATGTTCCAATTCATGTGAGGCACAACAACTACATGACAAGGACAAGGACAAGGAGACCCTAGTGCCAGTAGTACACTGTCCAGCCCCTCCAACTTCAGCTCCCACTTCTGCTCTTTTAGACCCTACACCTCCTCAGGGTCCAGAAGTTGTTCCAGACAGTGAAGGTAATAATATGGCATTGGTTTTGTGGAAACCACTGCCTATAGCTAAATCTAAATTCTCACCACTCCTGCAACTTGAAGAAGAAAATGAAAGTGATGAATCAGATTATGAAGACCTGGGAATTATGTATGATTATCCCTGCAATTCCAAAAGCCTCCCACCAATTCCAGAAAAAGTTAAAGAGATCCAGCTCAATACCTCAATTAAATCCAGGCTTAGATCAGCCAATAAGAGCTCAAATCACTCAGTTTCCCAATGAATGCTCTTTTTTGGAATGTTTGTGGTATCAAGTCTTCCCTCAATAGACTTATACTTCTCAAGAAATGCTATAATTTCATTTTCCTAGCTGTCTTTGAACCTATTGTGGAGGAAAAAAACTGGACTTTTACAAACTCAAGCTTGGCTTCAATCATGGATTTTCAAGTCAATTTAACAAATGTTGGATCTTCTGGGATAGTGATAAACTCAGTTTATCTCAGGTACAAGAAGGTGAACAAGTTACTACATGCCTTTTCAATTTTGTGGAAACTAAAGCCCCTATATTTATCAGCTCAGTTTATGGAAAACACAACAGAATAGACAGACTCAATCTCTGGGAATCTCTCATTGATCACAACCCTGAAGCTAAACCTTGGATGGTGGGAGGGGATTTCAACACAATTACCTCCTACACTGAGCATCAAGGTAATAGCTCTCCTTGTAGCAGAAGTATGG